GAGGGGTATGTTAACTAGCTTACCAACGTTAGCTTACGTTCTCTTTGCAGCTGTTCACCGATGTAAACATGGTGCTGACTTTGCCTAAATTCACCCCTCTGGATTTATAACTTTATGTTATAAACAGCGTTTCACTTTACACCAAAGCTGATTTTTAAAAAGTCCGGATCCCTACCAGCTTCTGTCGCTGGTGGTGTTACCGGGTTCAGGTGCTGCTCTCTCACCGGAATGAGATCTCTGAACGCCGATGCTCATTTAAATAAATAATGTGATTTTAACACACGTAATCATACATCGGAGCTTTAATATTGTTAATAATTGTCTCGCTTTACACTACAGTGGACGTCCTCCGTAGTGAAATACCCGTCCATCAGGATGATCAATAACTAGTATAAAACGCATCACATTTATCCCTGTTCCTGTCTTCCTCGTGAAATAAATTAACATTAATCTTACTCAGTAAAAACATGTTCGCTGCAAATCTGAGGCCTGCTAGTCCGCTTGATTGATCGCTGCAGTTCACCTCCGTCCTCAGTCTCCTTCAGAGTTATTAAAAAAACAAAACGAGTTGAGTTTACATCCTTGTCTGTTAGTGCAGCCAACCACGCAACAAGCTAAAACCATTTTACTGTCAAATCAACTAAGTAAACGCGATAAAAGGCGACAAACTGGCTTGTTTTGACTACCTTCACTGGAGTTTCTACGAGTGTGAACTGACTTTTTGCCTTCTATCATGGCGAAGGGGGCGGTCACATGAGTGGCGTGACGTCACGTGCAAAGGGTCAATAGGAAACTTTTTACTGATAGGCTTAGTGAACTGAACTGTATTGGAATGTTTACTGCGTGAAGCGCCTTGAGATGACTCTTGTCATGACGCAATGTAAAAAAAAATTGTTCTGATGCAAATATGACTCACATATTATTATGCTGTATAGTTTTTCAAATGCCAGGATGAGTCAGCGGGTGCAGCTTGGTGTATCCGCTGCACAGTCGCACACACAGACAACAGAAATAGTTTGACAAAAGAGGCCAAAAGTGGAAGAGTTAGTGTCTACAACCTGTAAAGAAAATTAGAGCAGCCTTTATTCCTTTCAGATCCTTTATGCTCTGATCACCTGGGAGAGGTGAGCCGAACCCTTCTGAAAGCTCCAGGGTAGTTTCGTTAGTGTTGTGGCGTCTCTCTTTATGTGACCTCGTGTTGCATTTCAGAACTCAAGTCATTAGGCCTGAGGAAGAAAATGTGTGCTTTTTTTAAAGGAACCTTTTTTTTATCCTTTCTCGAATATTGGAAGTGAGTTTGACATTAGTAAACTCAATATTACGTCAAATAATAATAAAAAGTACTGAACTATGTCAACCAAAATCTAAACTAATATTGTAAATAATTAAATATATGAAAAAACACATTTTATGAAGTGAATGAGTCTTTTGTCAGAAACATTTAAAACAGCTCCCTAAATGTTAAATGTTTAAACTTTATAGTGAAATAATCTCTAGAGTCTTAATGTTGGGTGGTTAAATTGAAACAGCTTTCCTTATAGCACTTTCCTCAGCACTTTGGTCGGCTGCCATGCCATTTTTAAAAGTGCTTTATAAAGTTGGTATGGTATAAGCCGGCAAGCGTGTTTTTCATTTTTCTTCTGGGTGAAATGTTTTCATCTGCTCAAAAACTTCCGATATGTGACTCGTCTTCGCTCGGCATCTAAAATTTTCTGGTGCTGATCCGTATTTGGCAACGGTAGTGAAAGTGACTCATTTATTTTGAAAATGGGCCGCAGTAACCTAATTTGACCACATGATTTCATTCTTGTTTATTCTTGAATCATGCACCTTTAATTCTCCTACATCCCTAATGGGGTCCAGTGATCCCCAGGGGCCTCATTTGTCACACGTTCATAGAAACGGTCCTATATTCCCTCCCACGACCGAAATTTAGAATATGTACGAACAGTCTCAAGACTCATTTAAGAAACATGCTGTGGCCTCTCCTACCCACGTTTCTCTGCAGTCGTCTGATGATAAAACCCACCTGTGCGTACCCAGGTGCTCGTGTCCGTTCGCCGTCATTTACATACAGAAATGCCCTCAATCAACCATATTTGGTCACGCTACGTCCTCAGCATTTGAGGGCGTTCCCTGCTTTTACCCCCCCCAAAAAAAAGAAGAAAAGAAAACTTTATTGATGGCAAGATCGAAACTGGCTGCTGAAGCACAACATAACCAAACAAGTTGCAGAGGTTATAAACACGGTTGGGACAGAGAGGTTCCTGTCAGAAATAAATAAAAAAATGAATATGATGACTTGTGGAATAACGGATTAAGGAGTTGTTCTGTTTGGAGTTTATTTCATTTAAAAATGTTGTCTGAGAACGAAGCCTCAGGTTCTTCTGAGCTGTCATTCACTTTGGTTGCATGTTTGATCCGGGAGCAGAGGAGGTTCTGGGGAGTTCTCATAGTTGTAAAATAAAATATGACCTGGAATCGGATTTGTGCTGTTTATCTGTTGCTCTGCAAAGGGTTCCAAGTCACAGCACAGCAGAAGGATTTCCATCCAGTGTGCATGTTGTGGTAAATCCCCCAATAACACAGAACAGCCATGATATGTCAGATTCCCATCGGTCACAGCTGTCTTATTGGTTTTAGCACCACTTATGCGAGAAAGCAGTTTTTCCACTGACAAAATTACATAAAATCTGGGGATGAGAAACACATTTGGATGACATTCGGTATTGTGCTTCCCCATTCTGTCACTAGATGCTGTTTGTACACACGGTCAGAGATGTTCTTACATTTAGGAACGTTTGTACGTACAAGTACAAAAGGATACCACACAATGCGTAGAATTGTTCCCACGCACAAAATACGCACAGATTTGTACGTAAGTACGTTTGATGAGCGAGGCTCCAGGTGTTTTATTTATTTATTTATTGACTTGTGAGCACAACCTCACTCCTGCCACACGGACCACAACATTGCTGGAAGCAATGCCCCTTATTTGTGAACATGCACCTCCAGCCGGGCAAAGGAGTTAACTCATTTTTTTAGGATTATTTTTCTCACATTAGACTTTATATATACACTTCAAAGACTAAATGTTGTCAAATCTGCATCTGTTCAACATCTGAGCTGAACGTGAAGATCCTTCCACCGTTGAAGAGGGGTGTTCTCTGCAGGTTTTTCAGGCACTTTTTGGAAATTTTAGTCCGTGGGCTTTTCTTTACATTTGTCTCTTTAATTTGTAGCAGGCAGTCATGGAATTTGTGTTTTTTTGTGACTATGAAGGTGGCTGAAGCCACTTCATGATTTTCTGTCTTTGTAAACAGCTAAAACACCACTCAGTGTAGGTTATTTATTCAAGCATGTGCACAATCTGTGATTGACATTCTGTACATAAGTGACTGTCAAATGCTACTGGCTAACTCTGAGCATCAGTCAAGTATATTTGGATCGGGCTTTACAGGACATGGGGTGGGCTAAGCAAAAACAAAAAAGAAAACACTTATTTTCTACATTAAATCACATGTAAGATCATCACTGTTAGGGATTTCTAGAAAAAATCATACTTAAAGCGCAAGTCACACCAAAATCAACTTTTTTTTGCTGATAACTAGTAAAAATAAGTGTATTAGTGTTGTTGACATGTGTAGTTGTTGTTTTTTGCATTTTGGTGCATTTTCTTTAAAAACTTCAAATTCTGACTAAAACCTTCAGTCCAGCGCCCTCTTCAGCTCAAAAATATTCTACACAAATTTACAACAGCAGTTTGAAATCTGTCTCGACCAATAGGTGAAAGGTCCCATGCAACGTAACCAAGTCCCATGTAAGGTGTCAGACCTCTGTGTTTGTAGGTTATAAAAGCATCGCAGTCTCAGCCAGCCTTGTAGCAGTGGACTCGGATTAGCCGCAAGTGAGTGTTTATGTTGTAGCTTAGCTGCAGTTAGCATCAGCATTGAGTCAGGGTCTAGTATTATAATTATTTAGTTCCAGTAGCTTGGCTGTTAGATTTTGTTGTTTAGTATTTTTTACATGTGATTCTTTCACCAACTTGATGGAGTTTGAACCGGGTTATGCTGGGTTGAAGAGCATTTCACAAATTAGTCCAAGCCGTTCCAGTAATTAGCCGGATCCTGCCGACTGTCGCTTCCCCAAAACAGAGATTTTGGGCCCAATCTAAGTTAACTCTAAAACATGCTGGATAAAATAGCTCTCTAAGGCCGTGGGGCCAAACTCTGCAGCTAATGTAATGCTATGGCTAATGGCTACTTGCCATACAGAGCTGGTTCTGTTGAGTCGGCTCCTGTGGTTTCAGGCAACTCACAAGCTCAGAACAATAAGGCTCAGGTCCGCATGTCTCCTGCAAATAGACTTGGTCCCTTTCCTCTCGATATTCTGGGTAAGGAAGGGAGAAAATTCCTCCGCCTCTAATGACTGCTCAGAGTAAAAAAGCTAGCATTGTCTTGTTGCCCATCTGTCTTCGTCACTGCCACGGCTTCGCCTTCTCGGTCTGCCAGGCAACGCCTACTAATGTTGCATTTTTCAAAATTGATATGTGGGTGGAGAAGGACTTTGAGGCAGGCTTGACGAGCCCTTCAATTCCCGAAAAGAAGAAAAGACTTTGTTGCCAAGTTTAATCTAACAATTTTATATTTAAAGGATTTGGAATGTGCCGCTTTTCATCCTGTTATGACCCTTGGCTGGTTAAGGTTTGAAGGAAGGGGTAACATAAAGATGTGTGGGAGATGGCATAAAAACCAGGTTTTTATTATAAAACGGATTAATTTAACAAGAGAACAACTTATGCTCAAAGGCCATACGCTACTTCTAATTTCTTAAACTACAGTAAACTAAATTAACCAAAGCTGTTGAGATGTTTTAAATTACAAAACAAAATGAACCAACTCCTGAGAGACAAAAGACTAACTAGTTCTTTTACTAAATGAGTTCCTCTGAACATTCACACGAGCTGTGAGATTCTGAATTTTGATTCTTCTTCCTTGCAGGCTTGACGATGGGTTGCGTCAGAAGCAAAGAGGCCAAGAGTTCGACGTCAAAGTACGGACCCGTTGACTTAAATGTCACGCCATTCAACGATCGCACAAGCCAGTATGGGCCAGAGCCCACCTTGATGTGTCATACAGCTGCTGTAAAGGCACAGAATAACTCTTACAATACCCAGACTGCTGCCCTCACACCTTTTGGTGGGTCATCTACTTCAGCAGGTGTGCCATTCAGTGGAGCCCCAACCTTCCATCCAGCGGCTCGGGTCAACCAATTCTCCAGTAGGTTCCATTTTTTTATTCATCGCTATATTTTGGGGGTTTAAACCCAACACAAAATGATGGCCTAATTTGCAAGTCCAATGTTTTCCCAGGCAGGTCTAACTGTGTTGTTCTGATTTTGTCATGCATAAGACCACCGTAGAATACACTTTGCTGAACAGTTATTATTCCTGGGATGTTGCAAACAGATGTTATGCAAATGAGACCTTTAGACGGAATAAACCAAAACATCAGGGCTGAGCAGAACCCGAAGACTGCTCCAAAATATGTGAAGCAGTGCAACGGTCATGCCCTTTAAGCTTGGAAAAAAGTAATCATAACATGTTCTGAATTCATTGACTTCAGACTTGCACATTTAAAGTTTTCATTGCTTACGCTTGTTTTGTGTTGAGCTAGGAATTTGTCTGTAATTATTTTGACCTTCTGAGATCAGGGTCAATAAAGATTCAAGCTAAGAAGTTTAATTATGCAATGAAGATGTACAACAGACCAGTGCACACACACCCTCCCTGAGTTCCTGACATTGAGATACTAGATTCCTTTTCTCATTACCCTTTCTGTTTGAATTACACCTAAATAACCTAAGCCTGAAGTCGACCCTGCCATGTAACTCTGCATGGTTCTGCAGTTTACTTCCTACCAAGCTCCTGAACCTTATGAGCAGGTATGAGCCGGATACTCGTTTACGCATAAAGCATTTTTGACGAATATGAGCATGAAACGAGTAAAACTAGTAAATATCTGTAATCATGCTGAAGGAAAATCCTCATTGGGTAACTGACTGTCTTCACGCTCTGTGATTGGCCAGTCACATAGAGCGCCCGCCCCTCCCTACACACAAAACTCTGCAGCCGGGAGCTCAGTCCGTCCGGCCCATCCACGCACACACACACAGTCACGGATCTCGCTGTACTTGCTTCACTGTTGCTCACGTTTCTTCAGTACTCCCTAGGTTTTCTTCAGCTCGTCTCTTTTTCGGTTTAATATTTAAAGTAACATTTTTCATAATGTATGTGGTGCATTTAACAAAACAGAGCTGAAAACAGCTCGTGCATGTGTCTGTCTCTCTCTGTCTCTGTCTCTCTGTCTCTCTCTCTCCCCTCATACAATGAGCTATACAAAGGGTACTTCAGCTGAGACTGAATCAAATTATTTAAATAATCAAATTAAAATAAAATAAAAAGTTGTCTGGTTCTAGTATTTCATATTTCCTAGTTCCTACTGCATGAGTTCAGATGTATTAATTTATGCACTTAAATATTAATGTTCTGATTTTATTGAAAAACTTGTTCTGTATTAGTTCCTTTACTACTGTGATAAAAAATGTTTAATCTCAGTTCTGAGGCTGCTCTGTAAATAGTTTTCAAATAAACAACACACATAGCAACTTCCGATCAATCCATATCAATTTTAGACTTAAAATAATGTATTGATGTAAACCACATCCACTTCCGGGTTAGGCCATGCCCACTCAGAGTACAGATGCAGATCATTTAGATGGTTGAACAGATACAGATACAGATAGTGGTGTGCTCACTCATCCCTACTTGAGTATATTGAGCTTCTACTGTAACCCCCATTGGATTACATCTTTTCCAAGAGCGTAAAACGGTCTGAAGAGCTAATTAGTTTTCCCAGTACCTAGAAGACATCTAGAGCCCTGTTGTCTCTCTACACTTTGTCGGCTGTCTGTTCTTTTCATTTTATAAAATATATTAAATTACATTGGTTTTATTCACTGATCTAAATGGCAACGATGACCAAAATTCCAGAAGAATTTCTTCAACGAGTATTAAGACTTTAATCACAGCTGAAACAGTCTGTATTTTTAGAATACCCTTGGATCTGTTATGAAATAAAAAAAACAAAATGAGCTCTCTGGTTAAGTTGGCAGTTTAAAGGTACAAAAAGTAAAAATTTTACAGTGAAATTATCACAGTCTGATGTCTCAATCATGTCGAAAGGAAGGCTGCGTTCAAACAGATTTCCTTCTCAGCCGTGAAAAAAATGGAGGGACAAAGGCATTGTTTACAATCTACCCCGCCTCAAAACTTCCTGGTTCCAAAGCAAATCCTATTTGAGCCTGTGGGGTTGCCAAGTCTGCACGGACAAACACTGCTGACTTGGCATTTGTAATTTGACACTGACCGCCAAAACACAGCGGTGTTATGGAAAGAATGTTAGCCAGTAAAAGGAGCGACCCAGAAGTTATTTCTGTACCCCTAATAAGCCACAACAACAGTTTGTTTTACTGTAATCTTGGCTTAAGAATGCTAAAGGCTAACGTTGAACTAACAATGCTAACGGTGAATTGGAAAAAAACTTGTCTATTAAAAAAAATCTAGCTACTTTTTGAGTTTCCAACAATTACTAGACGTTACAGTGAAATATGTATGTTTTTGCTTATCATCGTGTATGACTCACCTTTGCTTAGGAATCGTAGGGTTACGTTATGTAAACCCCGGTTCTTTGATAACAGAGTGAGGTGTTTCACTATGGGAATCGCCCTGGCGTGACCAACTACGGAAGCTCCAATGACATCACGTCTGTACCTGACAGACCTGTGGTGCCATGCCCATGCTCCACCCACCCAGTATATACACAGCCAACCAACCCCTCCTACTCATTCGGACGATTTCTTACCGTTAATGCAAGAAGGGAATTGGTGAAACACTTTAGTCTGTTAAAGAACCGGGGTTTACGTAACGTAACCCTACACTCTTTTTCTAACTTCGTTCGGTGTTTAACTATGGGAGATATGGCCCACTCCCCAATTGCATGTCCATCCCGACGCGAGCTGCAGCAAAATTCTGCTTAACCACTAAGCAGATGCTGTGCATCCTGCCTCCAGCACTGAATGCTCCACTGAAGGTTGAGACACATCCAGCATGTAAAACTGCACAAAAGTTAGCGGCATGGCCCAGCTAGCTGCTGCACAAATACCCTGGACTGACGACCACGAAACAGGGCCCAAGATGTGGGTATGATCCTTGTAGAATGAGCCCTCACCCCCACAGTGTGCTCAGCACCCTTACACCTATATGAAAGGCTTATTGCTTCTACAGTCCAGTGTGCCAGTCTCTGGCGAGACAACTGGTCTGATTTTCTGAAACCATTAGTCCTGTCCAAATAAGCCCTTAAAGCTCGGACAATTAAGCTTCTGCTCTTCTGCTGAGAAAAAAGGAGGTGGGTGAAAAGCCAGCAGCTCCTAGGGCTGCAGCGAAGCCTCGACTACGTCGACGGCTCGATTCTAAAAATTTGTCGACGTCAAATTCGGAAGTCGACGCACCGCGCCCACTTGTTGCATCCCCAGGAGTTTGTAAATAAGGAGGAATCTGCCTGTTTTTCCTCTAGCTCGCCCTCTTCTCCGCCTTCACTAACATCTCCGCCAAATACCGAAGACCCGGAACAACGTCCGTCCACTACTAGATTATTTTCCTGTTTTGCCCGCCTTCGTCTCCCGGCAACGGACAACAACTTCCGGGGTCAGATGCGCTGCTTCGTCTCTATCGCAGATGTAGAAAATCACCGGGAGCGTTTCTCCCTTCATAACGGAGCTTCTTTCAGACATTAGGAGAGCTGTTTTGGTGGTAGCAGTCTCTCCTCCGTGCTGGTCTGTTTGCTGCTGGGTGTTTTTGGTTTATTTAAACTTGGTAACTTGAACTTAACGTTGGTAAAGCTACTGTTAGCATCTTCGCTAACAGCTTCTTGCGTTGGGATAAGCTGTTAAGTTTTGGTTTAGAGTTCATCTTTTTTGTGGTGTAGATCTCCCTTTTATTACATTTAGGGTGTTGTGGGTTTTCGGTTTAGTGTAAAATATCACCTTGAGTTTGGTTTAACCCGTATCACCACTCGCCTCACGCACATAAGTGACCAAAACAAAGCAACATGGAGACACTCCATCTTCTACCACCTCTCAGGCAGCAGCCTGCACTCCCAAGTTCTACACGTCACCAGAACATAACCAACCAACACAATAAAAGCAGTGTTATACAAAATGGAAGGCCTGTAGTGTTTATTCTCTTACAGTAAGAATTTATCAATTTTTTTGAGGAATTTATTTGAGATTTTCTGGTTTTTGTTAATTGTGCAATAGAAAAATAATCATTAGATTAATTTTCTAAATAGTCATTAGAATAGTCGACTATTCGATAAAATAATCGTCAGAATAATCGTTTTAAAAATAATCGTTTACCCCCAGCCCTAGCAGCTCCACAGGGGAGTAGCTATAAAATGACTCCATTACTTTAGGCACAAAAGCTGGATTGGGCCGCAGACACACCTTAGTGTAGCCAGGGGCCCACTGTAAATAAGAGGGACTGACTGACCATGCCTGAAGGTCACTCACTCTCTTTGCTGTAGTTAAAGCAGTGCAGTATTTAAAGAGAGAAGTTTAAATCCAGCCTCATCTACAGGTTCAAAAGGATGATGACAGAGAGCCTCCAGAATAAGAGAGAGGTCCCACAGTGGTACCAGTGGCCTAAAGACTGGTAGCTTACGGCGAGCACCCTTCATGAAGCGACGCACTAATGGGTGTTGTCCCACTGGTTTGTCACCAAACCCCACATGGCATGCAGAAATTGCAGCCAGATAAAGCTTAATAGTGGAGAAAGCTTTACCCTTGTCCATCACTCTGTTTTGAATGGTGTTAATGACACTTGGGGGCAGGACTGCCACGCTCAGATTCCACCTCTCATGGGCCAGGCCCACAGAGACGAGCGGCCTGGGTGGAGGGTGATAAATCTCTCCCCTGGCTTGGGACAGGAGATCCCTGCGGACAGGCAGGGGCCAGGGTTTGTCCCAAAGCATCTGGATTATTTCTGCCACCCACGGCTTAGATGGCCACAACAGAGCCACCAAGATCAAAGACGGGCCCTGTTCCCTTACTCTTATTAGAATGGAGGAAATCAGACTGAGAGGAGGAAACGCATACAGCAGCACTCTCGGCCACTGGTGAGCCAATGCGTCGACTCCCAGAGGCCCGTCCACATCTGTCAGGG